GCTGTGTAGTGTTCTTGCTCGCCTCGGACATGTTGCTTGCTTCCCTGTCATGGAGATGGGCAGGTGCGTATGTACGTAGGTCCGACGGAGGTATGTATGTATGCATGTATGTATACCAGACATTGGGAGTCTACGATTGAGGCCTTCAGGCAAAGCCGTCCCTTGCGCGGCTTAGGAGATTCACCGCTCGGACCTGACCTGTCAATAATCATACGAGAGCAAACCTGTAGCCCCGAAAGCTATATCAAAAACGCAAAGCCTCCGAAGACTTGAATCTCAGCTCCCGTCTTACCTTCACCCTATGCCCTAATGCTGTCACGGACCTCATTATTATGTCCTTGAAGGGTGTAGCACCCTAACTATAAGGTCCTTGGAAGCATAGGGTCGGACGTTCATTTGAACCCCTCCCCGCCATGCCAGGAGTGCCGCCTGGAGCGGTTAGAGAAGATGATGTCACGCGCAGTCTCCTGTCCTGGCTTGAGACGGAGATTCGGATCCCTTCAGAGGGGATTGCTCAAGATTGAAGGTAGCTTAACTTAAATAGTGGGGTCGAGCTTTTAGCAGATTCTGGTCTGGCAATTCGACTTCAAGAATAGCAACCCTAAGCCAGCCAAAGGGTCCGGCCCCAGATTCGCGAAACCGCAGACCAATGAGCCTCAGGTGAAACATCTCTCCCGCGACAGGACTGCCGCGCTTAGGCTTTAGGCATATTGCAGAGGCCTTGGGTTTATTGTCGGGATACTGTAAGCGTTTCATATAGGGCAATATAGGGGCCTTAAGGAATTGGAATCAGGTTTTTGGAGGAAAATAGGTTACAAATATCACGCAGCCCTAAAAGACAGCAGTGGTAATGATTCAGGCTTGTACTTGGCCGACTGTCTATCGTCTTGCCATATGGCGCCCCGTCACCTTAGTCTTAGCGCCGAAATGCAGAAGTGTCTGAGCCCCTTTCCCGATACCTTCCGGCGACGGATCTGCAGGAACCGCCATCCCTCCCGACTCTCTTCCGGAGGAGGCCTGCGCAAAATTACCGAGTCACACCCCAAAGACCCAAAGAATGATAAAAAGGCTTGTAGCCCCTCGCAGAGGCCCTCGCATGTACAGCAAACTCACACCGCTGTGCGTATGTATGTATGTATGTATGTATGTATGTATGTATGTATGTATGTGTATATATAATATAGTTTAATATAGTACAATATAATATAACAAAATATCATATAATATACATACACACATCATGTGTGTATCTACATGTATGCATACGCATACAAATACGCGTGTAAATTTCCATAAACAAGCAAATAAGTGTGTACATCTACACACTCATGCGCGCGTTTGTGTTTTGTATACACGCATACAGACTCCACATCTTAATATTATGGACACGTGTTTCTTTCACATAGCGTGTATATATATATATATATATATATACACACACACACATACATATGTACATATGTGTGCACGCACATATAGAATAAGTTTTTGTTATCTGATTGTTTGTGCATTCCAGGCTCCTCCCTTTCCTCAGCTTCTGATGAGCCCAGCTCTGACGGCGGAGGTTCGAACACTCCCTGAGGAGAGTGTAAATGGATTTAGTGCCTTACCATTTCTTATGCTTCTGGTGGTAGTGTTGTGAGCTGTAAGCTGTTGAATACGGTTGTCAGTTTTGTTGTGTGGTGATGCGCGGAGTTGAGGGTCCGAGAAGGTCTGACGTGTTTGGGGCATTGGGTTTAGGCCACCGGATGTTGAAAATGATTGCATGATTCGTTCAGGTAGTTAACTGCTTTGACCAGATAGCAAAAAGGGCAACACCAACCTGGTTTGAAGTCTTATGTGCTAAAACCGGAAACCCCAATCCCTAACCCTTGAATCCGGGTTGAGAAGAAAGATCCCACCCACGCCTACTAAACCATTTTATGAGCCACCTCTGCTCTGGAGACGAGATTCGGGGCCGACGGGTGCCCTCCTGGCACCAGGATCACAAGGGTCCTTCCCTGATCTCGGCTGTTCCACAAAATGCAGAGTGCCTCGAGCAAGAGCACCGGATATATGCATATGAGCCCCAAGTACTTGGAACTTCGACGCCTCGAAGCCCAGTCACTGAAAAATGTGTCATGCCCCAAGCTCTCTCAAGCGGCGTCTCCGCAGCAACGGAGGCTCCATGCAGACTTCAACTTGTGTGTGACCCGAGATAAGAAAGGAATGTAGACCGTTCATGTCCTTTCCTCACTCCCTTGTTCTGTTTTCGGGTGTAAGTCGAGGGCGCAGGACTACAAGGTCAGACTTCAGAAGCAACGTAAGCCGTTTTTCCGGTGCTCTGATGGAGCGGCAAGTCCAGCTCTACAGTACACATCATGCTGAAGGGATTCAGGGAACTCTCCGAACCCCAAATCTGCTAAGAGCCAGACCCCTACTAGTACTACGCCAAATGGGATGGGAAGGTATCAGATTTTGAGGCGGGGTCAAGGGTTTCGGGGCTTGACATTTGGTGTTCGACGTGCGTTGATCTTATGCCCCTTGCAAAGAGATGAAAAGTTCAGGGAACTGAGGTCGAAAGATAGTGGGGTACCACCATAGATGTAGGAATGTAGGGGCATGAATACTTTCAATGTGGCTTGGGTACTTGTGTTATTTCTTTACTTAAGTTAGTTTAGGGAACTCGCGGGAACAGTATTGCTTGTCATCCATGCCTCCATATTACTTGATCTTCTGCATGGTTTTCATGTTTCGGGGTTCGGAAAGGCAGGCTTTAGATGAGCGAGCGCCTAAAGCGTCACCTCCTGTAGCAATCTTCGAAGCAGAAGAAGTTCCTGTTCATGACATCAAAGCCAAACTTGCTTGTGAAATCCCGGCCTACCTGTAGTCTCGATTGTAGTTGACTGTCTTGATTTAGCAAATTTTATAGTTAAGAAAGAAACTACCATGGAGACTTTGGGGTTTAGGTTTAGGGTTTAGGCAGAGGAAGCCCCCCGAGGCCACCAAATTGATTTTCTTTCGGGCTCCCGACTAGAAGATTTTGTATTCATAGACTCTGCGAAAGTATAAGTATAAACTAGGATTCCCAAAGACCGTATTCTAATGAATAGGTACCTCTAACTACGGAGTCATTTCGGAGTTTCCCCTGGAAGACCACAGCTTGTAGACGAATTCGTCCTCCTTAAGCCGAACTGTTTGAAGTTGCCCGGCACATGGGGGCAGAACTCCGCTGCACTTCGGCTAATACGCTCGCAGGCATTGCGTAGCTTGAACAAGTATAATATCGATGAATCACATTAAATTAAACTTCCTTCACAGAGGCCCAAGCCTTAAACCGTACCGCCGAGAGCTCAAGAATCGCAAGAGTCTCGACGACTGAAGTCAGGGAGCTGCGCCCCACTCCAGGCAGCATTAACCAAAGTGTTCCCTGCAGGCCGAGAAAGTCTTCGGCTGGCTCAAGAGATAGGAGTTCGGGTAGATCTGGGGCAGTGACTCCTCACTGATGCCTCAAAGAGATAGTCTTGAATGTATGTCGACATCGACACATTATTATGGGTGCTCTGCTCAAGGTTCTCGTTCTTTTTTCCTCAAGGGCGCATCTGTTCACCCTGTGTCCGTCTCTGAACTGGAAAAGAAAGGCGAATACGTCCTCTGCCTGCGCACTAGACAATCCGAAACCACACTTGACAATCCACTTGAACTGCACCCCCCACTCAGTTAGCTGAACCTCTGCCTCTTGAGCTTCACCATGAGTCCAGGTACCACCTCAGCGTTTCGCAGAATCCGCAGAGTCACAAGACACTCACGCGGAGGCTTCAGGAGAATCGCGTCCTTCAGATTCATGATCTAGGGCCCGTAATGGGTTTAGGGTGTGTAGGGTGTAGGGCCTATTACTATACACAGGAATTTGAGTTTGAGGCTTGGGGTTTCGGGTAGGGTTTTGCTTCTACAGGGCTAAGCGGTCAGCTTCCGAGCACCAGGGAAGAGGCATTGGCATGTGAGGCCGTCGTAAAGACCCATGGCAAAACAGTGGCAAAATGCTTGCATTCCGCAAAAGGTCCGATTCTCTTGACGGTGGATCTCAAACCCTCGTGTCGATTGGACGCTCCCACGGCGCTGCATGAAAAGAATGCGAAACTCGGAGCAGCGTTCGGACTTCCTCTCAGTATGTGTGGGTTGTTCCAAAGTCTGAAGGTCCTTTTCGACGGGAGCCAATCTCATGACATGGCTTTGTAAGGAAACGTACTGAGAAGTACTGCCATGTGCTTTCTGTCAGAAGAGGAGTGGTAATCGTGATCTGGAGTACCGGGCCTCTCCGGAAAGATTTGTTCGTGCTACAGCTTGTGCTTGTAGATGCCTGGGTGCTTCCTCTGCAGGATGTGGGCACATCCACATGTCCCGCTTTCGTCTATCGGATCAACACTGTTGGACTGCTTGTTCCAGTACTGGGTAGTTGTCAAAATTATGGTCCCTTTTTGGGTCCTTATTATAATACGGCACCTATTATTTAGGGTACCCCAAAAGGGGCCATAACTTTGACAACCACCCATGTTGCTCTCATGCAGACTCTGCGCTGGTCATGCTTTGTTCATAACGGCCCGAGGGCCGGCCATGGAGCAGAATCCGCCTGCCATCTCCGCTCGCGGATCTCAAGGAAGATGCAACAGTATAGGGGTGACCATATTATATATATATATATATATATATATGTACGTATATAAAACAAATATATATATATATATATACACATATATATATATATATATATATATTAATTATATGCTGAGTATTATTATGGGTCGCGGCAGGACTGAGTGCCTCGGGGCAACCGACATGGTAGCTGCTTGGGCTCATGATTGCAATCTCCGGCCTTCTGTCTTCATGCGTAATTACCTCAATCTGCTGCCGGAAATTCCCAAAGAAGAGACTGATAGCTTTGCAATGGAAGTTCCCAAGATAGAGCAAGAGTGTGTGAGGGCAGGGGCTTGATTCCAAAGATCTGCCAATCCGCCGCAGCCATGGACGACCTCGGCTTTTTCGACTCTGCGCTCTCGGACACGGAAATGGACGAGTTGTTGAAGTCCTGCAAGGAGGAGGCTGAGCAGAAGAAAAGGAAAGGAACGAGTTCGACGGAGCATCAGAAGAAGAAAAAGCAGAAGAAGCAGAAGAAAGTCAAGGACCTCTCCTTGCCTCTGCATGTTGGGGTCTAGCTTTGTTGTTTCAACGACTCTGTGGCCTCCCGAGGAGACTGAGGAGACTGATGCGATTCCAGAGCAGGCGGTACCGAGCACACCACCAACGTCCTCTGCGAAGGTAGGCCTCTTTTACGCTCTACGAGTTGATTGTGGACGAATGGCTAGTGGCTAGTGGTAGCATCCTCAGTAGTCCCCAGATGAGCATGCTACCATAGCTATACACCCTTGTCTTTGCCAACTCTTGAGGCAAAATATATCTATATCTATCTGTTTACCTACATACCGATCTATCTACCTACCTACCTACTTACCTACCCACCTAACTACCTACCTATCTGTTTATCTATCTGTCTATGTTATTCAATTGACTATGTCGACTATGTATGCAAGTGCTTATATTTGTATATACATTTAACATGATATATGCATATATGTGTATATGGATATTTATGGTTTATAGGGTGTCAGGATCTTTGCTTGCAGCTCGAAGTCACAGGCGCTCGGTGACGTCAGTTTCGCTTCCCTTGCAGATCCCCTGTGATCGTTGTAAGCCGCCCGTTGCAAGCGTCATCAAGCACGTGCAGCGACACTGTTGATGGCGAACTGAGCTGGAAGGATCATTGGCATTCGTGTTCATGGTTAGCACTTTACGTGTTGCATACCACAAGGCATTGCAGAACGGATTTGGAAGAAGCCGTCATTGACAGGGTTCAAGATTTCATGGCTTGGAGCCTGGACTAGGCTTTGCATACGAGGCTGATATGATAGATCCTGCTTCAGGGCCCCTGGTCTAGATAGACAAATACAGTCCCGACACAACTTCGAAAAGACAGTCCTCTGTCGTGCGTGTGACATAGAATTGGCAGGTTGTTATGTCAGATGCTGTTCTGACCGCCAGCATCACCAGAGCAAAATGTACTCCATCAATAGCTCCCTTAAGACAATTCATGGCTAAAGGCTGGTTGCCTGCGCGTCAGGAGTCCAGCACCCCCACCTCAGAGGAGAAGCAGAAGGTGGCAGCCAGCCACTTGACACCCAAATGTCGCTTGGCTGCTCTGCGAGATACAAGTTGTCGATCTCATGAAACCACAGGTCAAACAGCCAGCAGCGTGACAGGTTGAATTTGTCGCCGAGATGTGAGGCTCGATACCCACTGGTAGCAATGAACTCGTTGATCCGACGATGAAGGTGGAGGCTTTTGGCCTGACCATTGGTGTTTGTCAAGGAAACCGTCCAGTCACGAAGGCACTTAGAACACTGACAAAGGAAGTCATGGGCAATTGCAGGGTTCACGGATTGCTATATTTTCGCCACTTCCTGCCCTGGCAGCCCGAGTAGCTGAAGAACTGCAGGTATACCTGGACATCTAGCAGGCCGAAACCCACCGCTGACAGAACTACGTTCGCCATCAATGGTGCAACAGAAACTACAGCAGAGTAAAATAATCTTTTGGCGTAGGCTACATGACAGCATGATTGTGTGCTTGATTGCGTACCCCAAGCTGTGTTCTGGCCATCTGCCACACAGCTATCTATACGCATACATACCTACATACATACATACACCCACATACATGCATATGTATACACGACATCTGTATGCTTGCACCTCTTGTGTATAGCTGTATCTATTTCCATGTCTATGCCTGTATGTCTATATCTCTATCTGTATCGTTATCGCTGCCTACACATGTCGATATCCATATCTATGTACCCAATATGCATTCGCTGCCGATATGCAAATAGCCATCAAGTGGCTAAACACATATACGAGGGTGATGCCTAGATACATGGATAAGTTACTCCACACATAAAGCCGGATCGATAGAAGCATGTGCGCATAGGATAAGATAGGATTGAACTGGATAGGATATGATAGGTAGGTATAGGCAGATAGATAGAAAGCAGAAGTCCTTCCAAACTCACTACCAAGCCCATGTTCTTATAGTTCAGGTTCCCACGATGAACACCTGAGAAATCCTTACCGAACCCGATAGCATCCCATATACTGCTTGCCCTAAACCCTAAGCCCTGTACCATCTGAACCCAAGGCCCGGCGAATGGCCTTCCTCTGCACGCGGTGAGGACACAAGCCGTGCAGACGAAGCCACAGCCGAAAGGACAGGGGAATTGAATGGGCTTTTGGAGGGATCTTTGGTTTCTGTGGGAGTTTTCGAGCTTTGGATTAGATTGTTTCCGGGATAGGGCAGACTTCCGGGAGATGTGGTCTCCAAGGCTCTGGCTTTCAGTCTTGGAGTGTAGGCTGCGGTGTAGGTTTCAGACATAGGTTTGGGGGGTGTGGAGTCTGAGCATAAGAGGGGGCTTCAAAAAGGCGTAGGCTTCGATGCAAGATGCCTTGACCTTTACAGCAGAGAGTGGGAGATGCCACTGGATCCTGTGTCCGTGGAAGGGGCCGTAGCCTTTTCTGGGAGGCAGAGGTACATTCCCGACTCATGCAGAGCATGTATTTCTTTGATTTAGCTCCAGCAGCCAGGCTTGAAAGTCAACTATCCAAGCAGATGTGGGGTTGGAGCTTGCATCTCAGCTTGAAGTTATAGGGGAAGGCGGGCCACGGGACGAAAGTAAAGTTGGCAAAGGCATCATGTCTGACAGTTGTGTTTGTGCGGTGCGTGTTGCTTTCTGTTGGATGGGTCCTGCATGCCTGGCATGTAGCGAAACCGACGTCCTTCTATGCCGCCCTGGCGGCTCAGTCGGGCGACCGAACCGAGACAACCAAGCTTGTTCGGCAACTATTGAAAAAAAGACCTGGTACCCGCCGCAGCAGCCAGGGAGTCACAAGGTGCTGGTGGGTTTGTGGTCTTGAGGCGTCTACGAGATGAAGTTTGGCAGTCGTAGGTGTTGGTACGCAGACTTGCTTTCTTGCAACATGCTTAGGCAGGCATCGCATTATGAAGGAGCCGGAGTGGAATAAGAAGAAAGGCGTTTGGGTCGCACGCTGTGAGCCTCGGTAGCACGAGGGCTTGTCCCTGCCCATCGGTTTGCTTGATCCTGGCTTCCGGCTCTTGGAGCAATTGTTTGCGTGCTTACAGCCTTAAGCACTACAGCTTGCCCTACCGAAACCAGCCAGCCGCCATACTGAGAGTGCGGGGGTGCTGGTCCTTAATGTGCTAGCATCCGGTAGGCGAGTCTTTCTGGTTTTGCTGCTGTACGACTGATGCGGCTTAGTGGTCGAATCCCAAGTTTTTGTAGACGTGTTGCTTGTGCTTCATGGGCCATGCAAGCTGAGGCGATGACATATTCGGGCAATCGAAGCAGCTACCATACTTGGTACTCGGAGTAGCTTGCCTGCACTGTAGAGAGAGGCGCGGACTTTCATCAATCTGTTGCAAGCATGCCGAACCGGATATATAGAAGTCCTCTGCTCAGGGCTGTAGTGCGTTTAAAGCGATGCAGAGTCTTGTCGGCATGCAAATCTTACATCCTTAGTGAATTTGGCAAGTTATGGCAGCATGCTTGCCTAGAGCCGATTAGGAACTCCCAACCCGCATTACGTTTCTGTGCAAAAGCCTCATCCTGCGGCCCTTCAAGGAATGAAGGGAAATCTTGGAAGTTCACCACAACGCTTTACAATTTGTTCAAGACGCCTCCCAAGGAGATCCCGTCTGAACCCGGAAAGGCAATTCAGTTTAGGATTCTTGGTAGGTGGTCTCGCATGTGAGAACTGTGGATCCGATGTTTCTCACTGTTCAAAGAATCGGTCTGGTGTGCATACTGACATACTGATCAGAGTATCAGTAGCATCATGAACAGCGTTAGCATTGCGTTGTTTGAGGCAGTGTGAAAAGTTGTACGTCCATGCGTACATACACTCATGCAAACAAGAATAAGAAACATGCATGCGTACCTTGTACATACGTACATAGTTGCATACATATGTACATAGGAAGGCGGACAGACAGACAGACAGCCAGGCGGGCGGGCGGGCAGGCAGGCAAGCAGACAGACAGACAGACAGACAGACAGACAGACAGACAGACATCCATGCAAACATGCATGCGTACAAGCATGCGTACATAAATACATGTGTGTATATATATATATGCATACACATACATACGCGTGTAAATAAATGCATGCGACTGTTATTCTGAATAGGTAATTACTCGAAGGGCGTATCTGTCTTGTCTTTGCAGCTATGTCCTCCCGCAGTTCAGGGTTGATGCGTGCGCGTCGAGGCGACTGATTTTCAATCACTATCGACATGAGTGGACGGCTCCCACTTGCGGTCTGACATGAGATCAGAGTGTACGATTGGGGTCTAGGATTTCGTGACGGGTGGGACATAGCTGCAGCTGGCGCAGGCCAGCTCGACGGAAACTTCTGACCCTTCCCTAGAACTGCTTTCTAGTTGTCAAAATGATGACTATTACAAGACTGCAAAGACTGTATGCATTTCTTTGTATTCACGATAATTAGGCTTACGCATCATACATACATACAGACATACATGCATACATGCATACATGCATACATACATACATGTGCACATTATACAGAAAGGTGCGTGTGTGTGTGTGTGTGTCTGTGTATATATACATATATCTGTATATACATATATATATATATATATGTCTGGCTAGAGAACCTCAGGAACCGTGTGTCGGCTCCGCAGGAGCAGAAGCAGGAGATCCCTAAGCCCGAGAAGCACAAGGAGGGCGCGACACCGGAAAGTTCTGAAGGTGGGCCCGAGACTCAAAAAGCCCTGTAAGCAACGAATACGCCTTAAATTAGAAGAAGAACCCTAATATGATGTAGGTATATTCCTCGTGGTTTTGGAGTCTCTGAGCAGTATTTCAAGCAGCTTCCGGGACGAAGAAGTGAGTGTTTGTGCGCCTGGGTTGCAACATCGTGTCTTTTTTCACGACTTTTCCCAAGACAGGAACGATGTTGATGGTGGTGGTTATGATAACGGCGACGATGATGACTATGGTGACTGCGATGCTCAGATGGTGTCGATGACGACAGGTACAATATGCACGTTGGGACTGCTTGTCGTGATGCTTTAGTGAGGGGCTTCCACTGTTTGGTACATAGTGCTTCGGTGTCAGGCAGCCCAGAGTCGACATCAAAACCATCGCGCATCGCAGGAAGCCCAGCGAACCTGGGCGAGTTGGGATGCACAAAATCCTTCCTTCACTTGTTGGACTTCTTCGTTGTCGTAGCCAGACTTTGCTGTTGCTGTCGTCAACCAAATCGAAGAAGTGCTGCACCCGTTCCACACGTAGCCTTTCGTTGGTGCCAGCTTTGCTACTCTCCGAGCTGCCAGAAGCATCTTGCGTGCTTCACCCGTAGCGTCATGTTGCAGTGGACGCCTTCAAGTGACTCCCGTTCTGATGCCGAAAGCCTTAAGGCTGATCTGCCGAAATCCAACTTCAGAGCTTAAAGCGTCAATGACATAGATTCCTGAACTGAGCTGAGCCCTAGTGCCCTAGTGCTTCCAAGGTCGACACCTCGCGCAACAAGCAGCCCGCAGACCAGAAATTGGCATCCCAGGCGGGGAAACGTTGGCAACTTCAGGCTTGATCAACGGTCAGCATTTCAATTTCATTGGTTCTCCAACCCATGTCGACACTTCCTGCTTCCACACCGCGAAGCCAAAGAAAGCATGTTACTTGTGGATTTCCTTGTGCTCAGCAGGCGCAAGCAAGTGGACTGACACCTGAAAAGTTCATGCAGCCTCGTGTCTGCAAAGTCGATCGGCTCGGAGTTTCGTGTTGTCGGGTGGCCACTGTTTCAGCAGGACATTGCCCTGAAGGAAGGAGAGATGGTACGACCGATAATGCTAATATGAAACCAGCTAGAGACGACGGTAAGAGCTGTTAGCGGCTTCCTTGCCTTTGCGGCTGTTGCCTCTTGTCTCGGGAGCAAACCGCGCAGTTGTGCACGAATGCTGCAGTTGAGAGGGCCGCATCTACCGTAGAAGAATGAATACCTCCCTCTGCTATTCACGTCCAGTATTGTCCTCTCTCGGGCAGGGATTTCTGCTGGCTTCTCGGTTGGGGGCTTTGTGTTTGACAGAGCTTCTGTTGCGTCAGGAACTGTTGGGTGAGGATTCCGGTGTCTTGCAGCTGTGAATGGCTGGCTTTGGCTTTGGTACTATCGCAGGCGGGGCCTTGGCTACCGTGGCTCCAATGGTCTCATGGGATGCTCCGCTTGAGTGAGGTTTGATTGTAGCACAAGTTGATCGTTAGATAGGGTCTTGAGACACACAGGGCATTCCGTCGGACAGCAGTTCGACAAGATCTGTTTCTCCATTCGAATTGCCTTTGCATTCAACCTGGGCTTGAAAAGCTGTGGCATTTATATACTATTGCTTCTACACTTGTGATGCTCACAAATCAAGGCATGTATCTCTAGTCTACGGAATCCTGAAAACCTGAGTCCTCGGCACCCCAACATCCAAAATCCTGTGCTCAAGGCACGCTGACTTGCTGAGATCGCACACCCCTAAACCCTGACGCCCGTGACGTGTCTTCCATTCCATTCTTTTCCCAGGTACCTCATGAAAGAACTGGCCGGCGCACAAGCAAGACAGATACTCGGAATGGGAACCATAGTACCGGCTGCGAAATTCGAGCCTGGGAGTGGCTTCAGATTTGTAGGGGCTTGGAGGACATTTTGAGTGCCAGACCTGTGGAACGGAGAACTTGAGCCTCCGGGGAATTGTTCCAAGTTTGTATCCATTCTACTGTTCCTTACTCAGTATCTGCTTGCACCACCCTCCCCGCACACGGAAACCTAGCGAGTGCCGACCTGAAAAACAGGCCATGCACCACCAAGCTGCGTTTTCGTGTGGATCGAAAGCCGTGCGCGCTATGCCTCAGGCAGCCGAGGTATTAACCCACAACACCTTGATCAAAAGAACCCTCAAGCATGTGTACTTCGCATCGAAGGATTGCCCGGTTCTGCTGGGAAAGAAGCAATCACGATGGCGTGATTTTTCGTCAAAGAGCCCGCCGTACCTCTGCGCTTTTCGGTGGTTAGTCAGGGTACGGGGCGGGGGGGGGAGGGAAAGCGATTGAACCTAGAGCTCCGACTGAACGTTACGATGGAAACTGCTCTCTGACGGACGTTCCCGTTGTTTTGTCAGGGCTTATAGTGCTTATAGTCTTACACAATTTCGGGGTTGGGATCAGTGCCCCGAGTCAGGGCTGGAATCTTGCGATGCTTGTAGAATACAGAAGGGACGTGGGAGCACGGCTAGGACCACTGGGGCCAGAAGCACAGCAACCTCTCTGAACATTCACGAAACTTCAGCGGCAAGAAAGCGTCCAAGCTTCATGCACAAGAAGATGTGGGAAATGTGAAGCCTTTCTGACCAGATGACTTCGAAAGCCCAGCAAAATCGCAAGGCACTGCTTCCTGTCTCACCTAATTAGGTTCGTCCTGCTTACTGCTTGGTCTTTGTGGCTGCTGTCTTTTCTATCCTGACTGCTTTTTCCAAAGCTTGATATGCAACTTCTCAGCAGCTTCGACAAGCCCGGGCCCACCATTCCATCGGTGCTTCATACCTACTGCTTTCCGCACCTTTCCGAAAGCCGAACCTGAAAGCCCAAACCCAAGCCCGAACCGTACCTTCAGAGTAAACAGACCCCCGAAACCCTGCCATGCCAGTCATCGCGCAGACGGTCAGGGAGAACCCTGACAGGAAGCATGAGGCGCGAAAGCTGCCTTTTCTGTCCCTTCTTTGCTACGGCTCGACTTTAAGGGTTAGGGACCTGTGAACGATTCTCTTAGGGATGTTTGCCAGCAGTTGCATCTGCTGTTTGAAAGGCGAGGTTAGACAGCCACTCTTGACTTAAGTCCCGGCAGAATCGAAAGCCCACGCCCGAGCCTCCAGCCGCAGAGGCAGCAGCTCAATCATGACAACGACCATGATAGTGTAGTCGTGAGAACATTTACAGATGCTAAAATCTAGTGACCTAGTGGCAACAGATACTTATCATGAAGCTCAGTTTAAAGCCTAGTGGCAAGTGACAGTATTCAACGACGACGATCGAACCCGAGCTGAAGCTCACATGTTGCGAGCCTCAGGCACTAGGAGTGCGTGACCTCGACGGCGCCATGAAGTTTGTGAAGAAGGCCATACTACTCACTAGGGTTCCTTAGTTCCTTCATATAATCAGAATATGTCAGTATATCACCCAGGCGGCCCGTGCACTAGAGCCGGAGCGAGGCTTTAGGCGACAGGGCTTGAGGCTTGAGGTTCAAGGGTCGGGGCTGACAGGTCTTATGGGAAAGATCGGGCGTGAGAGTTTCTTTCAATCTTCTTCGTATGTCTTTCAAGCTTGAGGCTCTGCCTTAGGCTGAGTATGTACACAACCTGCGCCAAAAAGCCGGAGTGTTCAGGCACAAGATCAAAAGAAGAGAGTGGAATCACTTCATGAAGGCATTCCGCCCCGCCCTGACATCGCCAAAACACATGCTGACAGGATCGCCAGGAGGGAAGAAGGTATCGGTTTAATTCGGAAAGAACGCACTCCTCGAGCTTGACCCAAAGAGCCCGATGCCCCGAAGTACAGCGTTATAACAACCCGGCAGCACTCCATACAGCCTACAAAGCAAAGCTTGATAAAACGCATGCTTCATGAAAGGTCGTTGGCTGAGAGCGTTCTGGCGGCCCAAAAGCGGCAACGAATTGGCTGTGTTTGGGGTTCAGAGAGGGAGCTGCTGACAAGCTTTGCTGACAAGCTTGGGGTCAGGTTAAGGGTTCAGGTTTGGGCATCAGGACATCCTCTTGGATTTTCAAAAATTGACGTTCGGGTGGGGTTCTCGATGCTCAGGGCAAACAGCGCCTTGAACCTGAAAGCTTCCAGGCCAGGCCCCGCGCCTGTCTCACGGGGCCGATGAAAGACCCCAAAAGGTGCCCCAACATTCCATTTGATTGCAGATAAACTGTCCTTGCAGAGTCTTTGCTGTCTCTTTGGGATCTCCATTTTAAGGTCGTCCGACCAGTCTTAATGATTCCAGTTCTCGGAGCTTGGTGGAATTGCCCTGGCAAACCTCCCCGGGGAGGTTCCGGCCAAGAACAACTGTTTACATAGACCTGGTGCATGTTGGACCTACTCCAGTCTTGAGGCAGCACATGCTACATGTCATACTACTGGGAATCAGTAGCCACCACATAAAAGGTTAGAAATCATGGTTCAAGACTTTACATGATTGTTTGGCACTCTGCATGCTTCGGTGCGCGACAGTACTTCTGGTAGGTCCTGCCGGTACCAGGGAGCGCTTGAGAACTTAGCCGCCATTGGGCCAGAAGCCGATTGAGAGGATCCCCCAGGCTCTTGCCAGTTTCAGGGCACAGGATAATTACTCATGTTCACGAGTTTGAGTCTATGGCTTAGTTCAGAGCTTCAGCGAAGCGTCGATGGCCCCTTACAGTCAGCTTTCTCTTGATGTGTCAGGGAATGAGGGCTCCCTCTTCTCGTCGCCATGGCCTGTTTGGTTGAGCAGTGAAGGGCTACCGGGCTGAGAGCCCCGAGCACTTTGCACCCATTTTAACAAGCCCATGCGAACTTTACCAGTTCAGACACATTTGGCTCGCTACCCAAGTCCTAGATTATCTGCACCAGGAGACCCTGCATCCCTAAATCTTCCCCCTAGACCCTCAACCGAGGATTTCTAATCATACCCCGGGCTTTCAGATCTTCCATGAGGTGGGCACACTTGTTCCTGCCGACCCTGTGCACTAGCTTGTGGCGGTCGTAGTGTGGCAGACTCGTCAAAGGTCAACTTCCTAATGGAAATTAAAAGGTTGAAGGGTTGGGGCAATACTGATACGGTATTGCGTGTCCACCTGTCTGTATGCATGAAGCCGTGTATGTCTTAGCCTGCATATGCATGTATGTATGTATGTGTGTGTGTGTAGATAGATAGTTATACACTGCTTGAACGAGCACAGATGTGTACAGTGTATATACAGGCATGGACGTACAGATGAGCATTTCGACTTTGTTGTTTTGCACATTGCCGGCAACAGGCACATGACTGCTGCCCCCTCGTCAGCACTTAGATTGGCCTGCACGGCCCAGGAATCGAATCTTAGATTCGTTTTAATCTCTTTTCTGCTGTACTGCAGACCCTTGATGCATCTGAGGTGCAGTACAAGGTTCATCCCAAGTACTTACGGTTAGGTTTGCAGTATATCAGAACGAAGGCATGACTGCCTGCAACACCTAGACGGCGACGGTCCTGCCTATGCCGCAAAATCAACCTTTGCCGACTTACTACACAGGCTGTTATTGTCGTCTTGCAAGAGCTTCGACTCTTTAGCACTGACATCTTCCGAAGCGGTAACTGGCAGCATACCTCGACAGTGAGGAGCAAAGAAGGGGCGATCCGACCGTCCGACTAACCACTCTGGCTCCAGTCGAACTGGATTTCATAGTTCAGGTATCACAAAACAGAAGGTGTGCTTAGGCCTTTTCGGGCTCATTGCTTCCTGCTCGTATTTTGAGTGACAGCAGCTTTCATGCCGACACTGCGCCTTCACTGGTGGGACGCGCCTGGGCGTGCCGGGGAGCCTACAAGGCTCGCACTCACCCTGAAGGGCGTACCTTTCGAAGATGTGCGGTACAGCTTCGGCGACAAGGAGAGCACCTTGATGGCATATTATAGTGGGTGCTCTTCTGGACTGGAGTCCCTGGCGAAGCTCCCGCAAAAAGATCCTTCAAAACCAAGCATCCGAGGCATGGCAGCTGTGCGAGCAAAATCGCCTTTTCAGCAGTTTCCCATCCTCGAGGTGGATGAGGAGGCCCGTGATAGAGTCGAAGTCGGAGACCAGAGGCCCCGAAGCCCTACACCCTACACTTACGTGGGCCAACAACCCTTGTCCTAAACCGGGTTCTTGCCCGAGTGACATGAATCGCCTTAAAATCGAAGAAGCCAAAGCAGGTGGTGGTGCAGTCGAACACCATCCTGAGATACATCGGTCGCCTCACCGGCTTGCTACCGGAGTCCCCTCTGGCTCTTGCAAAGCTGGAGGCCATCATGGATTTCATGGTAGCCGGGCTTGCTTTGGACAATTCATTTTTCCACGTTCTTTTGGAACATCTTGTGGAACGGGGAGAAGAAGCTCTAAGTGTCATCGCCCGCAGCCTGGCGTTCCAAACACAGTGGAGGACTAAACCCCCTCAGCCCAAACAGGACGTGTGCAAAATCCTGCCGCCACAACGCCCAGGCCATGGACGTCGAACCCTTGGCTTTGTGTAGCCATCTCCAGGCGCCATAGCGCTGAACCCCTAAACCCCCAAAATCCCTTAAATCAGTTAAACCCTAAATGTCGACCTAAAGGAACTACGAGGGGAGGGTCACCCCAAAACGCACTGCGGCCCGCCTGCTTGGCGATGCCACTTTTGCTCGATGCTGAATGCCTTCGCGAAGTTGCCTTCAGAGTGATCGGGAGAGGAGAGGGACTACAGTGCTTTGCCCGATATGCAAACAACAACGTCAAAACTGGAGAATGCGATGATCATAAGCTACAGGATTTCCACAGGGCTTCACACTGGTCTTCCTCTCTTTGTCGGCTCTTGTGCTGACTTCAGCACGTGTCCCGACCACGGAGATTGGCAAAAACACTTTCTTGGCGATCATGTCCCACCACGGAGTGGGGTCTTGGGGCTTAGTCAACACGTCGCCAAGTTGGATTTCGCTAGGTATCCATGCCAATGGAAGCTTTTCGCTCCACTTCTCGGCCTTGAGTGCTTGTCGCAAGGCGGCCAAATCGACCGCTAACCTGCGATCTGAAGGTGTCCTCGGGACTCCTTGTCGGTGTAAATGGTCAAACAACGACCTGCAGTCACTCAAGCAAACGAGCGGCGTCTTGGCGTCCTCGACCTTGGTCATCTCCCCGCTGAGGATCGTCTCGTAGCAAGCACGGATGTACTGTGCTCCTTCGAGACCCTCGATGCACGCCTGGGTCTCGGCGCTGAACGTGCTGCGGCAAACTCTTTGTCCGGCTCGCGACTTCCAGTCCAGCACCG